GCAAAACCCCATTAGCTTCATCATTCTGTGTGTGTGTGTGTGTGCGCGCGCGCGCGCACGCATACCTTTTTTGAACTATTTGAGAGTATGTTGGAGAGATCATTGAACACTTTGGTACTTCCTAAGTACAAAGAAAAAATGTTTACATAGTCAGGAAATTTAGCTTGAACACAATACTGTTATTTAATCCATAGTCCATAGACTGTTTTTCCCTCCTGTTCCAGTAATGTCCTTAATAGCTTTTTTAAAAATACCTCCAGTTTAGAATCTAATACAGGGTTATGTATACATTGATTTTCATTTCTCACTAATCTCCTTTCATCTAGAACAATTCTCCAGTCTTTCTTGATTTTGATATCTTTGAAAGAGTTCAGGTCAGTTATTTTGTACCGCGTTGATTGGTTTTGGTTTGTTTGATGTTTTCTCATAACTACAAATCCAGTCTATGCAATTTTGGTAGGAGCACCACTAAAGTGATGTTATGATCTTCTCAGTGCTTCCCATCAGGAGGCACATGAGTCCATTTGTCCCAGGGTTAGTGATGTAACTTTGACCACTTGATTAGGAGATAGCTCCAGGGTTTTCCACTGTGAAGTTACAACTGGACATGATTAAGTCATCAATAGGGAAATATTTTGAAACCACAAAAATATTCTGCACCTCATCAAATTTTCACACACTAGTTTTAGCAACCTTTAATAAATCCCTAACTCCATCATTCCTTCTGCATTTATCAGTTAGTTGACCTTTCACTGTGAGAGCTTTTCTGCCTCCTCTGTATGTATGACTCATCTTATGCTTTCCCTTTCCAAGCTCTGGAACCTGTACTGTCTTCAAGGAGACCTTGACTGGCTGAATTTTTAACAAAGCCCAGGAATACATTCGTAAAGGCGAGTCCTCACGCCCAGCGATAGCCTTTATGATCAGTTGCAGATAGCAAACTGTAGTGTCAAACTGTCCCCTCTGCAGAGAGGCTTTGCCTGGCAGCCGAATCTAAAGGAGCCCTCTGCCTCCACATCTGTTGGCCTCTATCACTTAACCCTGTTTCATTTTCTTCACAGCACTCAATCACTGTCTAAAAGTATCTTGTTTGTTGGCATATATTTGTAATTTTTTGATTTCTTCAACTGGAATATAAAAGACCTACCAGTCCTCTAACTCATAGCTTTATACCTAGAACCTGAGCCTGGCACAGTTAAATATATAAATGAATGAATGAATGGCATCTTTCTGCTCAAAAATGCTATGAACACACATTTGCATACCAAATTTTATTATTTGTGGAAGATTTTCAAATAACATCTAACCAGATTCCCACCATTTCTTAGAAGTTTCTTGATCCTATACCCAGATAGGAAAATTCCCATGTATGGTAATGACTACAATGTCCGTGTTTTAAAGCATTTTATTTGTTTGTTTATTTGTTAATCCTCACCTGAGAATATTTTTCCATTAGTTTTTAGAATGAGTGGAAGGGATGGGGAAAGACAGAGGGAGAGAAACATCGATGTGAGAGAGAGACATTGATTGGTTGTCTCCCGCACACAGTATGTACTGGACCAGAATCAAACCTGGGACCCTTCAGTCCGTGGGCTGAAACTCTATCCACTGAGTCAAACTGGGTAGGGCCAATGACAGTGTTATAGTAAATGTTTTACATGTTCAAATACTTCTCTATCAGCCTATAATGGATTTAAGTCACCCTGTTTCTTTTGTTGTTGTTAATCCTCACCTGAGATATTTTTCCATTGATTTTCAGAGAGAGTAGAAGGGAGAGAGAGAGACACAGAGAGAGAAACATTGATATGAGAAAGACATATCAACTGGTTGCCTCCTGCACATGCCCTGATCAGGGCCAGGGATCAAGTCTGCAACCAAGGTAAATGCCCTTGACCAGAACAGAACCCGGGACCTTTCAGTCCAAGGGCCAATGCTCTATCCATTGCGCCAAACAGGCTTCGGCCCTGTTGCTTTTTGTAACTGTTATCCTCCCAAAATATCAAGCTATTGCCGTGGTTACTCTTTAAACCAATCTTTTTTCACTGGCTCATCTCTGATACCAAGGTGCAGTTGGAAAATCTAATTCAAGTACTTCCAGATGAGTCATCTGTGAAAGCCATCATGTGAATGCTAATCATGAAGTTACCACACCTCACCTGCCCAGAGGTATGTGGAAGAGGATCATCAAAGGGAAAGAGTTTAAATGTGTAGACATGGCAGTCATCAGTGCTTTTCCTCTTAGTTCTTCAGGACTCATTAAATGTATTTAGAAAAATCCTGAGAAAATAAATCTAAATTAGAATTTTCCAACCAGTGATCTGTAAGGTGAAAGACATATTTTAACTGCCACGCACCTGCTTTTCCTCCACAATTTTCTTAGGGATATGACTATAAATCTGTTCTTCTTTCTCATCCCTCTCTTTTCTCTTATTTCCATAGATTGAAATAGAGAATGTTTAGAGTTTTCCTTTCCATAGTACTGTTTTTATCAGGAAGCATCTCCTGAAACCAGTCTCTTTCTGTCATTTGGTTTGATGTGATGGCACAACAGGTTATTGGGACTCTCCTTACCCATCTGGTCTGTCCTAGGCAAAGGTCAGAGTCAGCTGGCTCCAACTCTCAACACAGCCAGCACAGAATTAAAAGCAAAACAAAACTGGTCTGGAGAATTTAACTTTGGCTATACAAGATGTTAAACATTAGGAAAAGCTGGGTGAAAGATCTACAAGAACTCTCTGTACTGTTTTTGTAACTTTTTCTCTAAGTCTAAAGTTACGTATTTCAAAATAAAACTTTTATAAAGCCCTCTAGAACCCTCTATTTTTGCCTTGTAGATAGCTGATAGCCCAAATTTCACTAATAATTCATTTTAACTGAAATAAATGGCATGAAGTTCATAAATAATTCACTTTAATCTTGCACTAACTTTTTCAACTATTTTTCCTAACATCCTCAACTCCTGATCACATAATGCCTGAAAATCATTTCTATATTTTGACACTTGATGCTGGCCATCAGCTTCTGAGCTTTGTCTGCTTTTCTTAAGAAACCTTTAGTTTTAGATTATTCAGCTCACCCATCTAATATGGGCCCAGAATCCTTCCTTAGATGTATGTAGGTCAGGCTTCCTGGGCTCACAACTGGACTAGTCAAAGTTAATCTTTCAGAGAGCCACCATGGATGCCCACCACTTTCAAAGCTTACAGGTGTTCCCCACAGAAAAGTGAGCATGGTCAGCTTCACCTTTTACTCTCTTCCTGTCAGAGACATCACTGGTAGTCTTTTTTCCAAGGTCAGAACTTGACCCTGGGAGAAGGTTGACCTCCAGTATCTTTCCCATTAGCTTGACCACTTAATCCCTAAGTCAAATTGACCATAAGAGGGAGTTGTGCCCTGGCCCATGTGGCTCGGTTGGTTGGGTGTTGTCTAGTACAATGAGAGGTTGCTGGTTCAATTCCCAGTAAGGCACACAACTGGGTTGCGGGCTTGATTCCTGGTGGGGGGCATGCAGGAGGCAGCCGATTGATATTGTGCTCTCATATTGATATTTCTCTCTTCTCCCTTCCTCTCTCTCTGACACAAAACAAAACAAACAAACAAAAACAGTAAAAAACAATTAAAAAAGAAAAGGGAATAGGAACCTTCCAGTTCAGGCATTCGTCTTCCAAACTCCCAACTACTTACCTAGTCTGTCCAAATGGATCCTTGCTCCAGTTTCCCCTGACGTAGACTGCTATACTACATTCTTACTGTTTAAAAAATTAGTGACTTCTCATCTCTGAAGTAACATGTGCAAATAAAAAATTAAAATACCCAAATCACCCATAATTCCATGAAGCAACAAAAAAGAAATACCGACTGGGAATTAAAAAGAAAAACATAATATATTTATATTTATATTCTGGTATTCTTATTCTTAACTCAATAAAAAGGTATCTACCAGAAACTTACATGAAACTTCTAACAACATGCACAAGAGTTAAACATGCCCTTTAATGTTGGGAACAAGTCAAGATCGCTGCTATACTGCTAATATTTAAAATAGTATTGCAGAGGCGAACCAAGATGGTGGCGTAGGTAAACACTGGTACTCACCACCTCCCACAACCACATCAAAATCATAACTAAAATACAGAATAACCATCATTCAGAACTGCCTGAAAGCTGGCTGAATGGAAGTGTTACAACTAGAGAAATAAAGAAGAAAGCACATTGAGACTGGTAGAAGGGGCAGAAGTGTGAAACGGGCTGGTTTGACCTCCACATGTGGTGTTTTTTTAACCAATAGGGATATCTCGGCTGTGGAGGTTTCCTGTGAGGAACAAGGGGTCCCAGCCCCACACCATACCCCCACCCCAGGGTTCCAGAGCTGGGAAGGGAAGTCCCCAGAACTTCAGGCTGTAAAAACCAGCAGGGATTGTGGCTGAGTGACACAGAAGCTGGTGGAGACCCAGGCAGTTCCTCTTAAAGAGCTGGCAGACAAGCTTACTTGGACTCACTCCCTCTGAGCTCCAGGGCTGGGGCAGTGGCTGTGGGGATCCAGGGAAATACGGGAAGGAACTGCATTGTCTAGCATTGGAGCAAGAATGCAGGGACAGCTTTCTTCTGGACAGGGGTGCTCGCAGGGTCATTGTTCCTATGAGGAGACTTCCCCCATCACAGAGCTGACTGGCAGCCATATCTGAGGTTCCATCAGAGTGGCTCACACAGGAATAGTGGCTATTAACCAACCATCAAATAAAAATGCATAACAGCCCTAGCTTGTTTGGTTCAAGTGGATAGAGCGTTGGCCTGAGGACTGAAAGGTCCCTGGTTCAATTCCAATCAAGGGCACATGCCTAGGTTGTGGGCTCGATCCCCAGTGGGGGGCATGCAGGAGGCAGCTGATCAATGATTCTGTCTCATCATTGATGTTTTATCACTCTCTCCCTCTCCCTTCCTCTCTGTAATCAATAAAAATACATTTAAAAAATTAAAAAAAAAAGCATAACAGCCCCAAAGGTGGAAAACAATATATTAATTTATTTCCAAGAAAACAACATATAACATCATCAAAAACAAAGACAGATTCAGTAGTTTTGGGTCGTCTCCTTGGAAAGGAGAAAGCCACTAGTCCAACACTACACACTTCCAAGATTGAAGTATTAAAGACACAGGAGAGGTGACTAGCAATGGACATGTAAACATCTATTCCAAAAGATTTCTCATTCTATGTGAGAATATCCAGTGTAAAACATTTCTTCTAGGTGGTGTCATTTAAGTAAGTTGAAAAATGACTTTGCCATTAGCTCTCGGTGTGTTCCCTAACCCTCAGCCCTTTACCACCCAATGCACTTCCATCTTTTTAAGCAGCAGGAACAAAGAAGGCTTTATTTCAGTCATTCTCTTTAAATATGATTAACATTCAACAGGCACAATTATAGGAAAAAAAGAAAAACTGTGTTAATTAAATGCATCATTAGTTGAAGTAACTGTTTTTCATGAGGATAAAAAAATATTAAGGAGCTCAATGGATTGCGGTTCTCAACCTGTGGGTCGCGACCATTGGAAAACACATATAGCATATCAGATATTTACATTACGATTCATAACAGTAGCAAAATTACAGTTGTGAAGTAGCAACGAAAATAATTTTATGGTTGGGGGTCACCACAACATGAGGAACTGTATTAAAGGGTCGCGGCATTAGGAAGGTTGAGAACCACTGGATTAGAGGAATACAAAAGTAGACTTCACACTTTTCTGAGGTGACATGACATTTTCTCAATATTAACACTGAGATCATTCTTAAAACCTACCTTATCTGGCTATATTTTACCTTCTTTAATATTCCACCTCAGGAAATGAACTAAGACCAGTAGGAGAATCCCAATTGTCAGCTTGTTTCCTAATGCTTAGTAACAACCTCTCTAAGCTTCACTCACTTCATCTGCAAAACAGGGGTAATGACGACCTCACAAGAGTGCTGTGAGGTTTAAGTGCAGTGAGCTCGCAGAATGTCTTGGATACATAGGCTTTTTTAGCTTCCTTCCCTTCTCTCTTTTGAGTGATCTCTGACTTAAACCTCAGTTTGTAATTACTGAGATCCTTGGTTCGATATCACAATCTACAATCTACATGTGAATGTATTAAAATACAACCATTATCTAAGGTTCTCTGGAGCAGTCTATGCAACCTTCACATTACCAAGATTTTTAGAATTTCATCTCCATTTTGCAGTTAAGATAACTTTGGTTGGGGTGGAGGGTGGTGGCAGAAGGGATTGGTTCATTCTGAGGTATAAGAGACTTGAGACTAGATCCATGCAATACCACCTCTCTTCTAGGAGTTTCTTCATTCTGTGAGAACTTTTCAGCGTTCTCAATGAAAAATGATGAAAGGGGGATCAGAGCACATTCTGATATAATCGAGAAATGTTCTGCTTCCCTGGGGTCCTTTTACTGAAGCAGCAGGCAGTGACTACTTAAAGCACATTCTGCCTCCTGTTAATGACTTTATACAGAACTTCAGCAAAAAAACTGAAAATGCTAGTGCTAAAACTCAGGAACAGGATCTAGTTCTTCAGTTCTAGTAGCTCAAGTTTGAAAGGAGATCGGTGAGTTATCCAGAAAGCTGCTTGTACATCTATGTTCAGTTGAGCAAAGAAGAGTGGTGTTCATTAATATGTGGCTATAGGTCTGTTATAAAAGATTCCCTCTTCAAAGAAACCCAGTTCTCCTTCCTAAATCATATTACATACACTTCTCCTTTTGATTAGAACATTTATATATAGTGAATATCTGGTGCAAAGATGTGACAATAGTGAAAATGATCATTGATCCGAACAACAAGCTGGCACAGAGGTGGGCATCAGCAAACAGCCAGAGTGGACGGACAAAGGGCCAGGACCACTCTGCACAGCCTCCTGTTATTGTCCAGTGGATACTTCAACATATAGTAGTGGAGCCAGATCCTGAGGTCATGACCTCAGTCCTGAAACTGTTGGCCAAGGTGAAGTCCTCTCTCAAAAGCTCTTCTTCCCAACGGCGACTTCCCTTCAATCACAAGTTGCAGGCGATCAAAAATACCAGCTGGGTTGTATTGCAGTTTCACTCTGATTTAAGGTTCTTTCTCGAAGTCTCAGTTCTAGGCATTCCACAGTAAGGGGGTATGTAGTAAGTTCAAACTTGTTAGCAAAAAGGCTTGGCGAATTAATCAACCACTTTAAGTCTCCATTTCCATAGATACAAATGCCACGCACGTAGTGGCCTGCAAAGGAGAAAACAAAAAACATCAAACATGCTTGCTTTCAAAAGTCAGGGGCCATGAACTTGCAGTGGTCCAGTTACTGCCTGACTACTGAGTAGCCAACACTGGACCAAGTGCTATGGAATTCTAATGAAACATGATTGTGTAGAGACAGCCTACAAAAAAGTTCAACGGTCTATGGAAAGACAAAGGGCATAAATGTGTCTTTGAAGAAAATGAGAGTTAAATAACACAAAGCAATAACACACTAGGCATCATGAGGCAATTCATGTATTATCTTATTAAGAGTTATGGATGAGAGGTTCTAGAAGTGTGCAGATGGCTTAATGGGTCACACTGGTCAGGCCTCTTCCCTGAGCTCCAGCCTAGTCTCTCTAAATGCCTACTTTATACCCTCTCTTAGATAAGTAATAAACCTAACCAATAATGACTTGTCAGGACTGAACTCCTTAGTCCTCTCTAAGTCTTCCCCATTGAAATCCACAGCAATTCTATTCTCTGATGATTTCAGCACTTCTCCTTTCTCTTTCACACTCCACATCCAACTTCTCAGCAATTCTGTCAGTTCAATCTTCAAAATATTAAAATAAAATTTGACTACTTTTCACCACATTCACTATTGCATCCTGAGTCACCTCCATCTTCCTGTCTTGAGCTGTTGTAATAATAATTGGTTTCACTGACTCCACCTCTGCCTGTTAGTAATATTCTCAGCATGATAGCCACAATGACTTTTAAATGTACGGAGACCATGCCTCCTCTGCTTAAATGGCTTCTCATCTATGTGGAACAATAGCCGAAATCCTAGCAATGGCATTTATGACTTCTCAGAGTCAGCATAGCTCAGTGGTTGAGTGTCGACCTATGAACCAGGAGGTCACAGTTTGATTCCCCGTTGGGGCACATGCCTGGGTTGTGGGCTCGATCCCTAGTGTGGGGCATGCTGGAGACAGTCGGTGAATGATTCTCTCTCATCATTTATGTTTCTCTCTCTCCCTCTCCCTTCCTCTATGAAATCAATATATATATATATGTTAGGGGCCCAGTGCATGAAAATTCATGCACTGGATGGGGGGGTGTCCTCAGCCCGGCCTGCCCCTGGTCACAGTCCAGGATCCCTCAGGGGCAGGAAGTGACCCGGCAGTTAGGCCACTGCCAGCAGTGCAAGCCTTGGCCAGCCCTGGTTACCTGAGCCTCGAGCAGCCCTGGGCCGCTGGGGGGCTGAGGGCAGGTCCGGCTGCACCTATACCTGCAGCGCCCCCTCCCCCCCACCCTCGTGGGGCTGAAAGGACTGGGGGACTCCGGTGGGGCTGAGGGGACTGGGCGCCGCCATCTTGTGGCTATGGATGCTGCCATCTTTGTGACAGAGTGATGGTCAATTTGCATATTCCCTCTTTATTAGATAGGATTTTAAAAAAAGACTTCTCAGAGTCTAGCCCTTGGACTTACCTCCCACCACTTACTCAATCACTTATAATTCTTAATAACCCTTGCTCATTCATTTTGGACCCACTGGCCTTCTTGCTGGTCCCAAGCACACCAGGCATGTTCTACTTGAGAATCCCTGTTTGCTCTTCCTCCCCTGGGCTGCCCCCTTTCACTAGACATCCCCTTGCACTACCAGAGGCTCCCTCTTGCACTACCCCAGGTCTCTGCTTCAAGGCCATCTTCTCAGAGTGGCCTTCTTTGTCCTCCTTTCCTCTTTCCCTGATTCATTTTTCTTCTCGCACTTATTACTAACTGATGTATATATCAGTGCCATGAAGGAAAATAGTATTTTGTTTATTGTCTTTCTCCCCAGATTGGAATATAAGCTCCAGAAGAGCTGGCATTTGAGACCAGATTGTTCACTTCTGTGTCCCCTGCATCTGAAACAGTGCCTGGTAAATATTAGGTATTAAATTAATACTTTTTGAATAAAAGGATGGAGAAGGAGGAGTGGAGAGTTAGTGGATGGGTAGAATTAGCAAGTATCATGGGGATGGGTGGTGGTTTCAATTGGGGAAAATGCCTCTAAAAACTGTAGAGATGAGAATTTTCTGCAAGAATAAGTAGTTTTATTGGGGAATGGCCTAGACACAGAATGGTAGGAAGCTGGAACTCTTTTTCAGAGGTTGCATGGCATAAAGTAGAACTATTATGGATGACTGACTTAAAACAAATTAAAAAGACTTGTGCCTTTTTTACCCCATAATTATGGAGATTTTTTGAAGATTTTTGACTAGATGACTCAAATGGTAAAATTCATTTTAGCAATATTAATTTTGCAGAACTTGGCAGGGTACATTAGAAGTCAATCAAGAGACTACAGTAATAACTTAATGTAAACCAGAAAGCTCATTCAAAGTTAATAGTTTCCATGAGTGGGAAAGAAACGATATTAGAGATAGAATACAGAAGGACTGACAGGTCTTGATGATTAATTCAACATGGTAGGGAGGAAGTATAATTGAGAGGAAATCACTGGGGAAAGAAGCCAGAGTTATGGGAAGTAAAAGAATAACTGGGTGAGAAGTTTAAGAACAACTTGGTGGTGAGGAGAACTGAACGCATAGGCAACATACCCATGCTTAAAAAATGGAAATGAACAGGAGAGAATACTTCAGTTTGTATCAAGCAGAGGGTGCGTGGACAACTTGATCTTGAGGATAGAGGCAGTAAGTACATACTTGCAGAGAGAAGGAAAAAAAATCATCAGAGAGAAAGACACTGAGAATGCAAGAGAGCAAGGGGATCATGTAGGGAACCCACACATAACTGAGACCACAGATGGTGACCTTGGTGGTGAGAATGAGTAACTTTTCCTCTTGAAATAGGAAGGAACAATGAGAGAAGGTGTCAAAAATACTCTAAGATGTAGAAAAGGGATGATATGGAAAAGGAATTGGTAAAGGGATTTTGATTAAATGTCTTGAAAGTTCTTCCAAGAATTGAAATATTCATTGTTTGAAAGGGTGTTTTAGCATAAGATTAAGAGCTTAGAGGTGAGCAGGAAAGCTAAAATGGTATATGCCGGGAAGGGCACCAGGAAAATAATGAGGGAGATAAAAGAATAAGTAGGTACTTTGGAGCATCTAGCTGAAGTTAAATGGCAGGTCCCTTACCCATGCTCCAGCAATGTTCTGTTTAGGGAAACACAAGTGGCAAAAAGCAGATGCCAATAAAGATCAAGTATAGGAATCAGTCTTGCAGGGTCAAATGGTGAGGGAACCTCAAATGCTAGTGAAGACAGCATGGGATGGCCAATAGAATACAGAGGCTGCACAAGGAGTCCCCGAAGGAAACCAGTACAAGGAAGAGGCTGGAAAAGTTGAACCTCTGAAAATCCCAATTAAAAAAAAGCAAACACATTTAAAATAACAATGAACAATTTGGTCAAAAATCCTAGCCCTCTTAGAACTTCTATTCTGTTCCTGGGAGAAAGTAAGTATATATAATACATAAATTGGTGAAGGAAATTAGTAGTGCGACAAAGAGATGATAATCAGAGATGTAAGCTCTAAGTCCAAGACCATAAAGCTAGAATGATGCTCTGTGAGTCTAAGTGCTAAGAGGGCTCGTAAAGCAGGTACACACATGAGTTTGAAACAAATCCTATTACTCACAGCCAAGGGGAAAAAGTCCAGATTGTATTACTGGCTTGCTGATTTGGCATGCAATGTTCTACTTCTGTTGGATTATGTCTGTTTCTTTTTCCTCTATAGTTGTTTGGGAAAAATAATTTATTTTTATTTTTAATTGATTTTAGAGAGAGACATTGATGTGAGGGAGAAACATTGATTGGTTGCCTCCCACACGTACCCTGACTGGGGACTGAACCCACAACCTGGGTATATGCCCTGAGTGGGAATCAAATCCGCCTCCTTCTGGTGTAAAAGATGATGCCCAGCCAACTGAATCACACTGGCCAGGGTTGGGAGACAAATAATTTTTATGCTCTGAACTTGATAAGGCTTTCAGATGTTCATTGGCACAACAGGTACCAAGAGAAGAAAAATGAGACATTTGTCTGAGAGGGGCTTGGGCTATCTAAGCTTTGTACCCAGTGTAGGTTCCCTGGCTAGGGGCTTCTCTCCGGGCCCCTCCTGTCATGTGATCAGTAAAGGTTCCTAAAAAAATGCAAACCTGATAACCTACACCAGTGATGGCGAATCTATGACATACGAACTCATTTTTTTGGTTGATTTTTCTTTGTTAAATGGCATTTGAATATATAAAATAAATATCGAAAATATAAGTCTTTGTTTTACTATGGTTGCAAATATCAAAAAATTTCTATATGTGACACGGCACCAGAGTTAAGTTAGGGTTTTTCAAAATGCTGACACGCCGAGCTCAAAAGGTTCGCCATCACTGACCTACACCTTCTCTACTGGGACAGGGTCTGGATAGAGGTGATGACAAGGAGACTGAGGTAAGGCTTCACTTGGCAGGTGGGGAGGGGGGGGGAAGAAGGGGGACAGTGGCTGCTGCACAGTGGGAACGGGAGCTTCTGTGGTTTGGGAGGGCTAGAGCTACAAAGGAATGATGTCATGTGGGTCCCTGTTGGGGATGTTGAAGTCCTCAAGTCTTCAGCTGGAGAGGAGGTGGAGAAGCAGATCAGAGAATGACTGCAGTGGTCCTAGAAGGAGGATGGTAGGGGTTATGGAAGGGTGTGGAGAAGACACCATAGCCCAAATATTGGGACCGTGACTGATGGTGATGGTCTGTTTTCTAAAGAAGACCCAGGAGCTCTAAGAGCAAAGCCACCTCCTCCCATTCTCCTCCTTCCAGTAGAAGGGCAGGCTGTGGTGAGAGTGCAGGCAGGTGGCATGAGCTGCCTTCTGAGAAAATGTGGGCTGAATAAAGTAAAGATATAAATGTGCTAAAGAATAGACTGAAATTTCTGTACAGTGATGTGAGGATGTTGCCATCCACAGTGGGGTGGGACTCTCAAGAGAAAGACACCAGAGACATGGAAGCATGGAACAGAGTGTGGACTCTCAGAGGGAGGGCAGGGGAAGGTGGGTGAGTGGAAGGTAATCAACCAAAGACCTTGTATGCTCATATGCATAACCCATGGGCACAGACAATAGGGAGCTGAAGGCCTGGGGCGGGGTGGGGGGGGGGATAGAGGGTGAGAGGGGTGGCCTAGAGGGGGTCAATGGGGGAAAAGAAGGTGACATATGTAATACTTTCAACAATCAAGAAATATATATATATAAAAGGAGGCCGAGTGTGATGGAGAGGTATGGAAAGCAGCAATCTACAATTAGTTGTAGAGAAAATGGATTGATAAGTGAGGCTCTGGATTGAATATAAGAGTGGAGAAGGCAAAGCCTTATTATTGCAGGGAAAATAGGTCAAACTTCCATAGTCATTCATTCATTCACTTAATCACTCACTGAATAAATATTAATTGTGTGCTATTACGGGCTGAGTTGTGTACCCCCAAAATTCACATATTGAAGTCCTAACCCCCAGTACCTGAGACTGTGACTATATTTAAAGAGATAATTAAGTTAAAATGAGGTCATAGGAGTAGACCCTAATCCATTATGACTGGCGTCCTTTTAAGAAGAGATTAGGACACAGATACACACAGAGGGAAGTCCATGTGAGGACACAGGGAGAAGGCAGCCTTCTATCAGCCAAGGAGCATGCCCTCCGAAGAAACCAAACCCAATGACACCGTGATCTTGGACTTCCAGCTTCCATGACAACGAGGAAAAAAATTTCCTTTGTGTAAGCCACCCAGTCTGTGGTTATGTGTAGAATGACTTCGCTATGTTAGCCCTGGCAAACAAACACACATGCCCACTTTGTAGAAGGCAACAGTTTGAATGAAATGTAAACAGAACTGATAGAAACCCTTCTTCATAAGGTTCTACAGAAACAAGACTACTTGGGATTTCAAGTTCTTGTCCATTGGAAGAGAAATCTCTCATGAATGCCACTTGCCACTAGGACAGAGCTGCAGTAAACACCTCCGAACCGGAAGCCTGGCTGTGGAGGGAGCAGAGGCTGATGAGAGGGATGGGGTCCAGCCTGCTCTTGGATGACATCACTACTCACCCCTACCACTTTCCTAACCACTGCACTCCCCAAAGGAACAGAAAAAGGAATAAGCAATAATAAGAAAGCAGAAACTACCAAGAAGAAAGTACCACTATAATTTGAACCTACCTGGACAATGTTTAAATGTATTTTTCAAGAACTGTGTCTAAAAGCCTCTAGCTAATCTGTTAATCACTCACAGATTGGTTTAAATATACCTGCAGTTCTCTCCATGAAAACCATGTATTCTACAACTTCCTTCATGCCAACACCAACAAGCAGTATGGCTTTAAAGTATGAGATGCATGCCTCACCATGGCAGCCTCCGTGTTTGTCTTCCATGTCAATCCACTTCACGGCTCTGAGGTTACCAGTCCATGATGCATTTGGCATGGAGCCAGGGACACCTGCAATGTTGACAAAGAAGAAAAGCATAAATGAGAACCAAGAGAGAAGGGTGTCAATTTCTTCAATTAACCCTCCAAGTCATTTTCTTTAAATATATTATCTTTCACATCAGATTTCTCATCATAATGGTGTGAATAGTTGGTGGTTATGGGCTTGGCTTTGCCACCAGTAAAAAGAATCTATTGATTTTTTTTCATAGTGTGTGTGACCAAGCCTGAAAAGTTTGGTCACACACATAGAGTTTAAGAAATACTCTAGTGTAAAACCACAGAGAAGGTTGGGGATTTTTGGTCTCTTGATGGCCTTTAATTAAATGTACGTGCAATCCTAATGTTATTATTATTATTTTTTATGATTTTCCAGATGGCTTCTAAGAAGTGCAGGCCCTGGAAACAGGCTGCTCTAGGTTCTTAGTGCTAATTAAGTGAGAGCAATTCCAGGGTTGCTCTTATATGACATTGCAATTTTAGGCATACAGAGAAAGACAGCTTGTTCACGCCATGTTTAACATAAATCTTTTAACACACTATGCTTTTTATTTGTTAAAATACTTCTTGAGCATTTGATATTTGATGTGCTGGGAACTGGGGACAGAGAAAGCATTCCTGATCACCCAATGAGGATAATGAATTGTCTATCCCAGTAGTAGGTTTTGAGCTTCGAGTTTTTCCTAGAAGATTGGTGTACACTGATCCACTCATCTTCTCTATCTCTTTCAGTTGTTCTTTGACCAAATGCTGTTGCTGACCTATTTTCTAGTTAGAAATTATCTAATGTACCTTTGAAATGTAAAGAATTCGCCTTAAAAGGGGAGAGGGGAGTTTTAGGTTGTCATCTTGCTAAACCAAGGTTTCTCTAACTTGGCATCATTGACTGACACTCTGGGCTGGATAATGCTTGGCTATAGGTCCCGTCCTGTGTAGTGTATGATGTTTAGCAGCACCCCTGGCCTCTACCCACTAGATGCCAGTAATATATACCCCCCAACTGTGATAATCAAGAATGTCTTCAGACATTGCTGAATATCCCCAGGGGAGCAAGATTGCCCTGTTTGAGAAACACTGTGCTACGCTACTCAAATAACCCTCTTCATCTCAATTAATTTTGGAGAGGTCCCAGAGATGAAGGGTCCATTTAATCACATAGAGTAGTTACACCCCAAGATTTCCATTACTGGAAAAGGAGTATATGGGAATCAATGTAGATGCAACTAGCTGAGGAATATTTCACTTCATAAGAACTGCAGCAATTTTCACCAGTGATAAATTCAACCTGAGCACCATTTTGATGTAATGGCACTAAGCAAGTTTTATCTGTATTCAAATTGCAATAGTCCTTTCTTACAAGACTTTAAATATTGATAAGATATACTGTGGTAGGCAGAATAATGCCCCCCCAAGCATATACTCAAAGAAGTCCGTATCCTAATCCCTGGACTTTGAGAATATGTTATGTTTTATGGCAAATGGGAATTAAGGTTGCTAATCAGCTGACCTTAAACTGGGAAATAGGGAGAGTATCCTGAAGTATCCAGGTGGGCCCCATGTAATCACAAGGGTCTTTTAACAATGAAAGTGGGAGGCAGAGTGTTGATTGGCCTGGTAAGCTGTGAGGACGCAGCCACGTCTTTGCCATTTGAAGTGGAGGAAGGGGTGAAGGATGCAGGTGGTCTCTAGAAGCTGGAAGGCAGGTAACAGACGCTGCCCAGCCCCCACTGAGAGAAACAGCCCAACCATGCCTTGATTTTAGCCTGGTGAGACCCGTGTCAGACTTCTGACCTGCAGAACGACCATACATCTGTGTCCATTATGCTGCTAAACTTGTGGTAATTGTTATGGTGGCAAATAGAAAACTAAGTACATACTAATGATAAAAAGTTACCCAAGACAATGAATTTTTAAAAATATATTTGTATTGATTTCAGAGAGGAAGGGAGAGAGAGATAGATACATCAATGATGAGAGGGAATAATTGATCAGCTGCCTCCTGCACGCCCCACACTGGGGGTTGAGCTAGCAACCCAGGCATGTGCCCTGACCGGGACTCAAACCACAAACCATGACCTCCTGGTTCATAGGTCGACGCTCAACCACTAAGCCACACTGGCTGTGCAGAATATTTTTTTAATAAAGAGAAAAATAGACACAACTAATACTTTTCAAGAAGTGTAATTGGACAGGCACATAAAAATATTTCCTCTTTAATAACATTAACAAAAACATGTACATTTTCAGAACAAAAAAAGCTCTGTTCTTTTGCCCTGATGTCACATAATAATTATATGATGATCTAAATCAAGAATTGTACCAAGGTTTCCTAACTAAAATTAAATTTGGCATGGTTTCCTATATATAGCATGAGTCTGTAGGGGTAAACCTCAAGAATCTTCCTTTCTTGCTGCCAAACTTGAAAACTCTGCTTATACGTGTTGAATATTCAAGAAAAATGCTATTTATTAAGTGATATTTCTTCCTACTGCTTTGTCATTAACCTGCTCTGTACCCTTGTGCATCATTTAATGTCACTCAGACTCACCTTTCAAATGAAGTAGGTAGATTAGATCAGGGTTTTCAACCTTTCAGACTGCAAACCACAGAGAATTTTACTCCATCACTTACACACACACACACACACACACACACACACACACACACACACACACACAGCAAACCTAAGTTTCACAAATAACTCTTAGGCTTATTACAAGCATTGCAGTTGCTAATTTTACATTATTTTCTGGTCTATTCTCATGTTAAAAACTCTAGTCAAAACCCACTAATGTGATTGCTGGATCCACTAATGAGATACAACTATTATGTAAAAAATACTGGACTAGATGATTGTATTCTTGTTGTTGCTGTTATTATTATTGACTACCAAGCTTCTAGGAGGATAGTTATGGGGTATATGGGTAATAGTCTACCCTCAATTCACAGGGAAGATCTATTTTTCATTCTTTCTGGGGTGTGGCAAAAAGAAGACACCAATATTATCAGAGAAAACATTTCAAACTATTAAACCCAATTCTCTCATTTGCTCTTCATAGGCTTATTTAAACAAAAGATTTGAAATAAAGTTTACAGAGTAACCAGCAATGTTTTTCTTGGGACTAAGCCTTTATTAGTCAAATATCTGCACTTGTTGAATAAATGAAGATGATTCTTTGAAATACAAGCTTTATTTACATTGGCTTGACTTTCTTCTTATTGTTCTCACCCCAGTGTGGCCCTCATTTGGGGAGACAAATTCCAGCAATTGCTTATTATTTAAGGTCAGATATATACTTTCTAACTTATTAAATAAACAAAGAATTTTGTTTTTAAATGTTAAAAGTCGCCGAAACCGGTTTGGCTCAGTGGATAGAGCGTCGGCTTGCGGACTGAAAGGTCCCAGGTTCGATTCCGGTCAAGGGCATGTACCTTGGTTGTGGGCACATCCACAGTAGGAGATGTGCAGGAGGCAGCTGATCGATGTTTCTCTCTCATCGATGTTTCTAACTCTCTATCTCTCTCCCTTCCTCTCTGTAAAAAAATCAATAAAATATATTTTTAAAAAAATGTTAAAAGTCAATGCTGATGTCAGTTTACTGAAAGGATTTTCTCACTTTAATGGTGGTGCTATAAATTGGTACAACTCTGGAAAATCAATTTGAAAACAATGTAGGAAAGATCAGCCTAATTGCCAATTTCCTTTGGCCCTTTAAAACAATAGTTTCAAAGTAAGCTAGGAAATAATTCTTAAAGTGTAAAAATCTATATATGACCATGTTCATTATGACATTATTTACACATACTCACTAACAGCACAGGCTTTGAAGTCAGACAGGAGGCATTTTAAATCCCCATCTGCTCTTACTGTGACCTTGAACAGTCATGTAATTTCTTTGAAACATCATCTACTAACCTTCAAATCCTCACAGGATTTTGTTAGTGTTAAATAAGATAACGTATGTGTTGTGCTTAGCATAGAGCCTGGCATACAGACTACTCAATAAATGGTTGAAAACATAATTCCTCTATTAAAATCACGGGGACAGCTTTTTTTACTGTAATCTAAAGCAGGTTTCTCAACCTTGACATTACTGACATCTGGGCTGGATAATTTTTTGCAGACGATTTCTTTGCTGTGGGGTTGCCCTGTGTATCGTAGGATGTTTAGTGACAGCATCCTGGGTCTTTACCCATTAGATGCCAGTATCAGTCCTTCCCTTCCCTCATCTCATCTCCAGTTGTGACCATCAAAAATGTTTCCAGATGTTGCCAAATGTGCCTGGGGGTGGAGGTGGGGGCAAAATCAGCCCTGGTTGACAACATGAAATCTTACATTATTAATAAAACCATGTATTTGCATGTGAAATGAAAAATGTTTTAAATTTATAAAAGTTTCTTTAATGTTTTTGCATTGCTTTTTTATTTTTAAACGGTTTTTTATATACATCTGAGTCTTAATTGCTTCACTGATTTAGTAACTGTGCTTGTAAATATTCTAAGAATAATTCAATACAGTGTTCATTGTTGATTGGTTTTCACAATAAAAAATGGAAAATTAATAACAGAAAGGCAGTGTTAAATGACATAGCCTCTTTTTCTCATTGTTAACTGGGGTAATTTTTAAACATAAGAAGAGCCCTGGCTGGTGTGGCTCAGGTGGTTGGAGTGCCGTCCCATGTGCCAGAGGGAGAAGGTTCGATTTCCGGTCAGGGCACATACCCAGGTTTTGGGTTTGATCCTGGGTTGGGGCACATATGGGAGGCAGCTGACAGATGTTTCTCTCTCACAGTGATGTTTCCCTCTCTTTCCCTTTCTCTGTCTAAATTCAATTTAAAAAAAGTTAATTTAAAAAATAAAAGATACAGTATTGTTTTCACGTACCAATGGTTCATGAATCACATGGGGTTATTAACACATGAAGCATGAGATGGCGTGTTTATTTAATGTGGGTGTTTTCTAGAAAGTCCCTGAGATAATAAATGGCATAACATCCTTAAAGTGACAGCTCT